TCAACTCGTACATTTTCCGGGTGTATCGCTCGGTACTTTCTAAGTGCTTTTCAATTTTCCTCATTTTTCTTGAAATTTCTTCATAAAAGTTTTGTTGAATATCAATTTACTTATTTAACAAAGCTCTTTTCTGAATCCTAGTTTTTTTAGCTACTGGTTCAATGTTTTCTTGCTCAACATCTTCCTCCGAAACGATCTCATCTGTTTCATTTAGTTCCTCGGAAATTTGGCTATTGTTCGTTTTTTCTGCACCACCAAATGACGCTCCAGGTGGATTTACCATACTTTCGAAGCACATTAAATTTGCCACTGCGCTTTCCATACTCGAAAGACTTTTTTGATTGTTTATTCCGCCACCAGTTGCACGACTTTCTTTTTTGTTGAAAACTACTTTCTTCTTTACTTTAAATTTAAAGTCACCCCAGACCTACAAAGATACATATAAACACTTATATATTACGCACAAAGTATTTGTAGGAAATACCAAATTTCTGATTCACCCACCTTTAGCCAGCCTTCCCCATCTCGAACGGGTGGTCCCATTGCATTTTTCAGCTATAGTGTCCCATTCCTTTCTAGCATCCAACTTCGCGACGCCTTTATGGAATCCCCTGGCCAATTGCGGATTTTTTCCATTTCCTGCACCAACAGGGCGAACTGATTTTGGGTTGTGACTTTTAACTAAAACAAAGAATTTCGAACGTCAAAATACATATATTTGCGCATGTACAGCTAAAGAAATTTTACTACTTACCATTTTTTGTTATTTCACAAGAACAAATTTGTCAGCTAAATTAATTTTATTTTCTGTCGTGCCAAAAATTCAAACGAGAAAATTTGACGTTATTTGAGTCGTATGAGTCGAAACGTCAGGAATGCCATTTTTTTTTTCGTCAAACGACTGTCGTTACGACAATCGGAATAGAGGTGATTATCTACTCATGGATGAGGGCTGTCACCTTTTAAGAAAATCAAATTCAACTTCAATTACGGGAGTTATTTATTTGAAAATTATATTAAAAATGCATGTCAAGAGGCATAAAAAAGCTGTAGTTTGAAAATCCGTCCGGGCATTTAGGAGGATTTCACTCAAAAACCCACCTACAGAAGAATTATATATTTATTTTTGCACGGCGCCATGCCCTCTTTTCAAATAGCCCATTTTTCTCCATGAGTATAAGATTGATTTCATATATCGCCGTACCCAGTTCCGGCATTCTACCATAAATACTTTCAGAGATATGCAGTACGAAAAATTCAGCTTGCATGAGAGGTGCCGCGCTCCTTTTTCCAATAGCTCCAATTTTTTCCAAGATTATGCGATTGATATCACATATGTATCTCCATACCAAGTTCCAGTACTCTACCATGAACACTTGCAGAGATATTCAGTATGAAAAATTCAGTACGTATGGGAGGTGCTACGCTTCCTTTTCCAATAACCCCAATTTCTCTCCATGAGTATGCGTTTGCTTTCATATATCTCCACACCAAGTTCCAGTATTCTACCATGAAAACTTCCAGAGATATGCAGTATGAAAAAATCGGTTTATATGGGAGGTGCCACGCCCCCTTTATATATCGAAATTTTATTTACCCTATTTACTATCTTTGGGACGTCTGAAGCAGGTGTCCGGAATTTCAAAAATATCGATTCGGCCGTTCTCGAGCTTTGCGAACACATAAAAAACGGCTTTCAAAATATATATTAGTATATAAGATTGGTATGAATCGAAATGGTTTTGAATATGTATCACAATATGAGTGCCAGACGAAAGAGGTTTAAAAAGGTTGCTAACTGTTCAAAAGGTTAAGTTCAAACCATTCAATAATTTAAATGAATTATTACAATATGGGCGTCAATCGAAATGGTTTTTAAAGGGCTTCATTTCAAAACTACGTGTAGTGGTAAATAAATACAGGGAAATACATCCATATGTAAGTATTTTTCTAACTGATTTACAGAGAGTTGTAATTGAAAGGTTTTAAATTTTCCCTTTAATGCGAATACAACCCAACAAATTGTGAAACATCGGAAACCATCGATATATCGATATTTTCCTGGCGATGTATTTTAGCATCGATGTTAATTTTTCCGATGCATCGAAACATCGATGTATCGATGTTACCCTCCAAAATTTGTATCGCTATATCCGGCACAGTTCAAATTTTTGTAAAGTTGCTTACCACACTTAAGATTGCTATAAATTTTGCTTCCAGTTTTTTAAGATTTACAAATTTGGTGTCTCAAACTAAAAACAAAAGCACCAAAAACGCACCAAGCACAAAACTCAAAATCATCACGTTTCGAATACCCACTTAATTTGGTGCGAAGAGCACCAAGTTGGCAAAAGTGAATGTAAACAAAAGTATTGTGTGACGTCAGACTGTGACTGTCAAATTGACGAAGAGAGCGTTAGCGGTCCGCGAATGGGGCCACCTTCATTTTCTGCATCGTGACCTAACGGGGCTTATATTCCTATTGTAAGCATTGGTATAGAAAAAATTGCAACTGAATTCGAATTGCCATCATAACACTAGCTTATTTAATTTTGCCTGTTTATCTCCTTCCACATTGCTTATAAGATTTTCATTTTATCCTTTTACTTATCGTAACTTTTGCACTTTTTTTATAGAATTGCAGTCTTTGATTTTAATCTCTAGATTTAAAGTTTTCCTTTAGCAATTTTTATCTGCAATAGCAAGGTCGAGAAATATAAAAACTGATTTCGAAACTTGGAAAAAACAAAAATCTCTCTAATATGAAGATTTTGGCACTGAACCGATTCTGGTCAATAACTAAATATTTATTTTTTCTCATTCTTAAGAAAAACGTCAAAAAATTCCAAGTAGTAACGTCAATGTGGTCGTTTTAGATTGTTAGAGAATTGAATGAACTTTAACACTGCATCCACGAAGAAAACGTCTGGACAATCTAATAGATGCACCACACAGTTAAAGTTGAAAATATGTTGAGCTTATTCTGCTGATTGGCAGTGCTTATATTTAATTGACTTAAAATTAAGTTTTTTCAAACAATCCTTAAAGTACCCGCACTACTTCGTTTATAAATGTCCAGATTATACAACATAAAACTATCGCAAACGCCAATTCTTTGATAACTTTCCTCTCAGCATGTTCAAGAAAAATATAGCCGAAATAAGCGACATTCTACCATTAGACAATCGGGTATGCAAAAAATAGATTGTCCTATTAGAAAGCTAACATTCAATAATGTTGTTGTCCAATTAAATCCAAATAAAGTTTTACTCTGTTTAAGGGAGAATTAAAAAAATCCTCTTCTGTAAAATTTACCTTTTGTCACTTACGATAATAACAGAATTTTTTTAAATTATTACAGAGAATTTATCTTGATAAAGTTATGTTCCAGCATTATAAAGTAGTTTGATTCTCAATGAATATCGGGTTAAGCGGATGACGTACGTTTGGCTGAACCTGGTCTTTTGGATATGGCTTCTGATCCCATGGCAGTTATAAGTAAAAAAACCTTCGAACTTCTTTAATTTTTGTCTAAACAAAGTAGGCAGCATAATATATTGGAAAAAATATATATTTCACTTGCTAACATATACATATGTATGTACAGCTTCAACTGTGAAATGTGTGTTGTCTAACTGTATGTTGTCAATCTACATCCAATCAGAACCCTCTAAGTTTATTGAAATGAAATGAAGTAGGTAGTTGTAGGTTGGATAAATAAAGATGGTGATATATTTCATCTAAATTCTATACGTCACCTTCTTGGTATTTTCTGTAGTTTAATATCATCAACACGTTCGTAATTTTATATTAATATTATAATAACTGATTAATAAAAATTTATTGGTATTTAGAAATAGCATGGGAGTGCTTTCATTTCATTATTTAACAAAATTTTCTACTTTATTTTTTATTCATCCATTTATTTTTTGTCAGAAATATGCGTTTTTGACATGTTTTTCACCTTAACATTTACTAGTTACACATTAAATTTCATTTTAATTTATTTCAGCTTTAATTTATTTCTACTAAGTGTTTAGTCGATTAGTTATTTAACAGTTTGTTCTATTTTTTCCGTTTGCATATAATACAGCATTATTAATGGTGCAGCATTCACAGATATTCTGGTTTTGTTTTTTTACTCTTCAATTTTCATGAAGTTTAAGTCAACTATCATAAATACTTAAAACAAATTAAAACATATTTTTACACATTTAGAATTTTATTCTGTTTTTTTTTTATTTCATTTTATATCAACAATTAAGTTTTCAAAAAGCTAGAGGTAACGTAAAACTTAAATTATAATTTCTTTTAATATAATATTATCACTATATTTTAATTCTATCATTTCATAATTTCTAATAAATTTTCTGTATCTCTTTTGCAACATTATTTTTTTCATTGAATATTTTAAATAGTTTTAATTTTTTTACCAAAAATATTTTTCTAATTTGTAAGGATTTGTATTGGGGTTTTAGCTTTTTAAATTTCTTTTTAATAGTACAATAACATTGTTAAAACTATCATATATTTCTTAAAAAAATATAAATATGAAAATAAAACATGAGAGTTTTCAGATTAGACATCCGCTGTTGCAATAGATTATAGGTACTGTTTGGAACTGCACGGAGTTTACTTATCTTATGTTTGTCCCTGCAAGCAATATATGACAACAAACAAACTTGACAACTGGCGAAACATTTCTAATTTTCCTTTTTGATTAATTGTTATCATAATTTTTAACACTCACGTTTTATAATTACGGAAAGATATACTAAAAACAAGCATATAACAAAATGATAATATAAGGAAACATATTATTTCAAGTCCCACACAGTACTAGTTCAATAAAGAATGATTGTTGTCAAAAGTATCGTTTGCAAATTGTTTAAAACATCATCTAATCAATGTAACATTCATAGTAGTAAGTAGTTCTCTGTTGTTTCAGTTGTTTTGTTAACTACAACGTAAAATAAGAATCATTTTAATAAGTATGCATTCTTAATAAAATATATCTAAATATCTTAATATTTTTGTTTTTTGTTGATGTTTCTCGCTTTTATTGGTTAAACTTGCTTTCAATTTATAACTTTCCGTGATTTTGTTTAATTACATTTCATACCGCCATTTTTATTTTAGACTGTTTGCAGGGATTTGAATATTATTATCGGCAGTGATAGACGATGTGTCGGACGATTTCTTCATTTTGTCGCAATAGTCATTAAAAATGTCACGAAAGCGTAGCCAACATTTTTCTGGCACAGTAATAGCAGTACGAAAATTGCTTTTCACCTTAAATCAAATCAAGAAATAAAAAAAAAACGTGAATGGAGATGCTTACGTTACTTTTACAATTGATATTACCTCACTAATGCGCATGTAAACCCCGCGATTATTTTGTCCAATATCGAAATAAAAATTTTTATTGTCCACTTTCATGTGGCGCTCTTCGGGCAGATCACCTTTAAATCTATTGAAAACAAGCAAACAAGAAATTTATACATACATGTTAGTAAATTCAACTAAAACATTATAAAAACATGAAAATTAACTAAGAGTCATAACGAGTCTCTGTACTCCGACGACAAAATTTCAAAGATTTATGGCCTTATTTATAAAAAATAAAGTAAAGCTTTATAAATTGACGTTTTCATACATTTTTCAATTTATAAGCCTTTTATAAAGCTACTTTATTTTTTATGAATAAGGCCATTAGAGTTTAGTGTTTAATGTATTTTGAACGTATCTTTTTTCAAAATCTACCAATGTAAAGTAAGATATTTAGAATACATACATATCTGAACGTCGTGACGCCTTCGTGAAAAATATTCCTTTTAAAAAACTAGAAGTGGTTGGTAAACTACGAAGTTTTCGCGTTCACACAAGGATTTAAGAAAAACAAGAACCCTTTGAAAATTTCTCCCATGCGATTTAATAATTTTACATATTCGGATCAATTGTTTTCCTGATATCAATGAATCCGAATAGCTACGATCGTATCCATTGTAATGAGTTCCCGTACAGACTTTCTTCGTAGGAACAGAGTTTAAAATTGATAATTCTAAAAAACTATGCATGAAATTATTGTAATGGTAAATATTGGTTAGAGTTGCGGATTTATTACACTTTGATATAAAGATTTATATTATCCCCCTATTATGAATTTCCATACGAAAGACAATAAACGCTTGCAAGCGTATCGTATGAAATCAGTTTTCGTATTACAACACTGTACAGCATTCGGCTGGGTATTGGACCAAACCAACTTTTTTTAAGAGATTAAGCCATAAGTAAAAAAAGTAAGTTCTCCGTTTTGCTTTTCGAAGTTAACATCCGAAATCGAGATATGGGCCTTCGAAGTTCGAAATTGGACCTTTGGTAAAAATTATTTTTAATTATTGCATGTAAAAATCAAAAAAAAAAAGTAAAAATACCGACGTGGTCCGCCTTTTTCTCTTATTTATATGGTATACAACGTTTTTTGTGAAAACTTATGTAACAGGTGTTATAACGGGTCAAAGGACCGATCTTCGAAAAATTAAAAACTTAATATTTCAGAAAATTTTGGACTGATTTTTAAAAGATTCGTATTGTTGTAAAGATGATTTAACCCCCTTTCTTGTGATATGCATATTTGTATACTTCGTATATGAAAAAAAACACATTTAATGGAAAATATACATTTTTTTGTATAAAAAAAAATATTTTTAACAAAAAAATTACTAACCGATTTTTTAAAATTGGTATCTTTGTAAAGGCGATAAAACCCCCTTTCTTCTGATATGCATATTTGCATAGCTCGTGAATAAAAATTTGAGAATAAACAATTAAAAGGAAAAAATAACTTGTTTTTTACAAAAAAAAAAATATTTTAAACAAAAAAATTACTTACCGATTTTTAAAAAATTGGCATCGTGATTAAGGCGATTAAACCCCCTTTCGTCTAATAAGCATATTTGTATACTTTGTATATAAAAATTGGAGAAAAATCATTAAAAGAAAAAAATAAAAATTTATTCATATAAAAAAAATTCAACAAAAAATTACTAATTAGTAATACAATTGAATACCGTGCTTAAATAAAACAAATCATTTATGGTGTTTTAAGTGTTAATTCGTTCTTGTTCACCCGCAGCCCTGTTAAAAATAAAGCAAAATTATATGTAACAGAAGTCTAAGGCATATAAAGATATAAAAACACTATGGTTTTTGATTTTTTACATAATTAAAGATAATTTCCTGTTTTGTTTAAATAAATAATCAATTGTATTACTAATTAGTAATTTTTTTCATTAAAATACAATCGCCGTTCGGAGTCGGCGTAAAACTGTAGGTCCCTCCTATTTCTGTGACAACATCAAGGCGCACGCCACGAATCGGAGGAGAAGGTAGGCCAAACACTAACATATGTGTAAGCGCCAATCTATTATTATTATTACTTCCAAAAGTCCTATTGGCTTATTGCTTCACACACAACCTTATTATTTTTCTGACTAGAACTTTTTAACAAGTAGTGTGTTCTTAATTTATGTAAATGTAACAAAACTTTTCAGTTGCGTTTGCTGTGCACTGACCATTGGAAATATTTACTACTGCCGAAAAATAAACCGAAAATACTGCTGCAGTACTGTACCGGTTTTCTTTACATGTACAGGGTGTTCTGTAAAAGTGTTCAATGAGTAAAGGGGGATGGTAGGAAAGTCAAGACGCCCTACAACGTTAAAAGGGGGAGGCTGGGACGGTGAGGGAGGAGGGGTTCAATATAAAAATTTGGAGAGTTGCAGGGAGAAAATAGTTGTCAGTACATTTAGAAAAAAATTCTCTACTTAAGGGTAAGTTCTAGTAAAAATTTGCAAATAAGTTTTTAAGGCAGTAAAATTGTACGACTTTTTTTCTCAAACTACATATATGTATGGATCTCATTACTTTAAACAATCAATTGTTGTAAAGATGTATGTATATATATCCAAAGGTTTCTAGAAAACGACTCTAACGGTTGTGATGGAATTTTGTATTCAGATAATGTTTTAAATTTTGAGGGTATCTGGAGATATTTGTACAAAGCTGCCACGCATTCGAAATTATTTATAATTATTAATTCTAAGAAGGCACAAAAGATTCACTAAAAAATTAAAGCTTTTTTTTTCTTACAGCTTATTAAGCCTTCTTCTTCTTCTTTTTTGGCACTGTAACCGCCTAAGCGATTTTGGCCGAGTTCAGCAAAGCACGCCAGTCGTCTCTCCTCTGTGCCAACTGACGCCAATTGGAAACGCCAAGTCCTTCTCCACCTGATCTTTCCATCGCAGTGGGGGCCTCCCTCTTCCTCTGCTACCACCAGCGGGTTCCGAGTTGAATACTTTCAGAGCTGGAGCGTCGGTGTCCATTCGAACGACATGACCAAGCCAGTGGAGCCGCTGTATTTTAATTCGCTGCACTATGTCCATATCGTTGTAAAGCTCATACAGCTCATCGTTCCATCGTCTGCGGTACTCGCCGTCGCCAACGCGTAAAGCACCGTAAATCTTCCGCAAAATCTTTCTCTCAAACACCCCAAGAGCCGCCTCATCGGATGTTGTCATTGTCCATGCTTCTGCGCCATATACCAGCACGGGCATGATGAGTGACTTATAGAGCGTGGTTTTCGTACGTCGAGAGAGGACTTTACTCCTGGATTGCCTACTCAGTCCAAAGTAGCACTTGTTGACAAGAGTGATTCTACGTTGGATTTCAATGCTGACATTATTATCGGTGTTAATGCTGGTTCCCAAGTAAACGAAATTCTCTACTTTCTCGAAATTGTAACTGTCGACAGTGACGTGGGTGCCAAGGCGCGAATGTGCTGACTGTTTGTTTGATGACAGGAGATACTTCGTCTTGTCCTCGTTTACCTCCAGACCCATGCGCTTTGCTTCCCTATCCAGCTTGGAAAAGGCAGAACAGACTTCGCGGTCTTTGTTACCGATGATGTCGATGTCATCGGCATAAGCCAGCAATTGCACGCTCTTATAGTAAATTGTTCCTGAGCGGTTCAGTTCTGCAGCTCTAATTATCTTCTCCAACATCAGATTAAAGAAGTCACATGAAAGGGAGTCGCCCTGTCTTAAACCCCGTTTTGTGGCGAACGGCTCGGAGAGGTCTTTTCCAATTCTGACGGAGCTGGTGGTATTGCTCCACGTCATTTTACATAGCCGTATGAGTTTTGAGGGGATGCCAAATTCAGACATAGCGGCGTATAGGCAACTCCTTTTAGTGCTGTCAAAAGCGGCTTTAAAGTCGACAAATAGGTGGTGAGTGTCGATCCTTTTCTCGCGGGTCTTTTCCAAGATTTGGCGTATTGTGAATACCTGGTCTATGGTGGATTTGCCAGGTCTAAAGCCACACTGATAAGGCCCAATCAGTTCATTGACGGTGGGCTTCAGTCTTTCACACAATACGCTCGATAAGACCTTGTAACCTATGCTTAGAAGGCTGATCCCGCGGTGGTTGGCGCGAATGGCGGGGTCACCTTTCTTGTGGATTGGGCAGAGCACACTTAAATTCCAGTCGTCGGGCATGTGTTCATCTGACCATATTCTGCACAAGAGTTGATGCATGCACCTTATCAACTCCTCGCCGCCGTACTTGAATAGCTCAACTGGCAGGCTGTCAGCTCCAGCGGCTTTGTTGTTTTTCAGCCGCGTTATTGCTATACGTACCTCGTCATAGTCAGGCGGTGGAACGTCGACTCCGTCATCATCGACTGCGGGCTCGGGTTCTTCTTCTCCACAACTTTCCGTGCTGCTACCATTTAGTAAGGCGTAAAAGTGTTCCCTCCATAATTTAAGTACGCTCTGGACATCAGTTACTAGGTCGCCATTATTGTTCTTACAGGAGTGCGCCCCGGTCTTTAAACCTTTCGTAAGTCGCCTAACTCTCTGGTAAAATTTTCGGGCATTCCTCCTGTCGGCCAGCATTTCAAGCTCTTCGCACTCACGTATTTCTGCCTCTCTCTTCTTGTTGCGGCAAATACGTCTCGCTTCCCTCTTAAGATCCCTATAGCGGTCCCACATAGCGCGCATTGCGCCCGATCGCAGCGTGGCCCTGTAGTCGGAATCTTTTTTCTCTGCAGCTTCCTGACACTCCTCATCGTACCAGTTGTTCTTTCGGGCTCTCTGAAATCCGACTACTTCTTCGGCGGCGGTACTTAATGAGCGGGAAATGTGGTTCCACTGCTCGCATATGTCGGTTTGTTGAAGAGTGCTCTCTGAGAGCAGGTGTGAGAGTCGAGTAGCGAAAGCGCTGGCTGTCTGTTGTGATTGCAGCTTTTCGACGTTAAGCTTTCCTTGCATATTTGGGCGCACATTTTTTGCTGCACAGAGGCGGGTGCGTATCTTGGCTGCAACAAGATAGTGGTCCGAGTCGATGTTTGGGCCTCGGAGTGTGCGTACGTCTAAAACACTGGAAGCGTGCCTTCCGTCTATCACAACATGA